TCATAACTAAAAGGTAAGCACTAAGGCTAACACATAAGATGAATGGAAAAAATTAGGAGCGATAAATATTTTCACTGGAGAAATCTGGGTTTTTTTCCTCCTGAGAAAAAAATAGTCCAAGATCTGTTCAATATCTAAGACTAGTGATTCCCAACTGTTATGTCAAAAGCTATGTAAAATTCAAGACAAAAATTAAAGTTTATTTCATTTTAAAAATTGTCAAAAATCTGTTGGTATCTGCATGCAAGGGTTATAAAGAGAAATAGTCAAATGCTACACACTTATGAAGTTTCTTCATTTGTTAGGTGGCTATCCCCATCCCAGAACCTACGCCAAGTATTTTTACAAGAATTTGTTTCTAATCTTTAAAGTAATCATGTTAGAGAAGGCATTAATTCCATTTTATGGATAGCAATAATTTCTAATTTATAGATAATAATTATGTATTAAACTTGACATGTATTGAGCCTGTACCATGAGTGTGCCAGGCATCACCATGCTAAAAACTTTATATGTAGCCATATACTTACTGACACAGAGAGGTTAAGTAATTTTCCCAACGTCACACAGCTAAAACTAGGATGAAAGAGGGAAGCTCAGCAAGAGTAAGCAATTCGTTCCAAGGTCACAAAGCTGTCAGTCATGGAGTCAGCAGACTAAGACAAGGCTGTCTTTCATTCCTTAGGCCTGTGCGCCTTCCACCAGGTACCTGCAATATCCCACCTGTGCTCACTGGAGCCCAAGGCTAAATGCCTAAAAGCCTGACTGGTAGTAGAGAGGGACTGTCTAGGGCAACAGGAAGAGCTGAGGTCCCATGTAAAGAGGCAATTTTCAATTCTTCAAGAGAATTGAGAAATCTAGATTTTGATACAAATTCTCCATATTTTAAATACTTCTCCAGTGTTTTCCAAAAACAGCATCATGTGAGCCAAACAAAACACATCCAAGTAAGGGCCATCAGTTTACAATTAAGTGTCTGAAGTCAAAAATGCGCTATCTCAAGTCCAAAATGTCAGAAATCAGAGCTGCTAAGCCAGGCTTATTCATAAGTCCTCTCTACTTTCAACAATGATTTATACTGAATTCGCTCTATATTCAAACTTTTACCTCTGGTAACTCCGTTGAAGGCCCTCTTCACTCTGGATTTACAGCCATGAAAATATCTATTCAAGTTAGAGACCACGTGTGAAATTTTGCATGCCTAAGGTTTCTTCAAATGTCTTTCAGTGCCTGTTTTTAAAAAGACACCAAACACGAACACAGTAACATTTAGCACACTTCCCTAGCCTGTCGGCTGTTAAACTAAATTCATTCTGGAAAATACCGCTGCAGCCTTGACCACTGCCTTGAGGGGTTCCCGCACTGCAGGTCCAGCTTCAAGAATTCCGCTCAGGACACCACAGCTCATTTCCTGGTATCCTTTAATCAGCTGGGGAGACTTCAGGAAATGAGTCAAAATCCTAAGACCAACTTTTAGCGGCTGTCAACAACAGCAGCAAAATCCATCACCACAACATCTGTACATAAACGTGCTCCAAGGGAAGCCCACAGAATAACTTGGCACACCATTTGTTTGGGAGAGAGAAAGGTTTTGGGTGGTGAACTGCGTTATAACTCATGGTGCTCATCCAGGGTAAATGGCCAATGGTGTTATCCATCGCTGGGGGTTTTCTCACTCACAAGTTCACCACAAGTATACAATGCAAAGACCACTTTTTTCTTATATACAGTGGGGATGGAAAAAAATTTCAACTAACTTGCATCATCATTTTAGAGACAGCACGTCTTCATTTTGGAGGGATTCTAACTGGAACAGGGCAGTTCCCATCTAAAGCCCTCAAGCTGTGTCATTCGGTCTCAGTCGTGTCCGGCTCTTCTCGACCCCATGGACTGGAGCCCGCCAGGCTGCTCTGTTCATGGCACTCTCCAGGCAGGAACACTGGAGTGGGTGCCCTCATACCCAGCGGCCAAAGGGGAGCTATCATACATACATATCATACATACCCCTGGGGAGCTTCACTGAATGACTCCCCCTTTGACGAAACTTCTCTCAAATTGAGAACTCTAGTTCAGACACCCTGTGACAGGCAATTCAAGCTCTTTTTTCACCAACATTGGGAAGGTAATAATCTTGGCCAGCCTATATTCCCAGAACCTCCAACAATGCCAGGCATACAATATGTAATAGTTTCAAATAAATCTCACTTTATACCCGATTGAGAAATCATGTGAAAGTATATACACCTGGGCAGATGGGGCCACTCTCAGGCTTCACCACTGATTATTGTGGGAACTGGCTTGTTCTCAGCCAGTTTCTCCAGCTTTGGTATGGGTGGTAACAGGACTACCTCCAGGGCTTATCGAGAGGACTGGAAATTTCAGGCAATGGACCCCAGAACAGGATCTGGCACTAATATGAAATTTAAGGTACACTAGAAAAACGTGTTGCAGTAACACAGCATGAGTGATTTATAAAGTCTTAAGGAAAAAAAATGTGTGGATGGGCGGGAGAGACCAGAGAGGGCATAAATGAATTATCTGGGTTTCCTGTATAAGACCGTCATGTTATTTCCAGCAGGATAATAATCCAGAATGTTCTGCGTCCAGCTGCTGAGAATGACTCTAGCCTCACATCTGCAGGAACGAGGACAGGGTATGATTCACTATTCCTTGCAGGTTCATCCTGCTGGGTACAGGAGTTGTAAACATTGCAAGGGCTGGGGGGGTGGAAATGGAGGATCCTGCAGAGTGGGCACCTCCTAACCCTCAAAGGGAAACTATAGGCAAGCATGTGGATTGGAGAGAACACACACCTCGCTGCTTTAACCAGAGTCAGACGAGTAGGGTACCACCAAGGAGTCTCTGTGACCAGGAGAGGCACTGGAATGTCAAGGAGGCGGGAAGGATTCAGGGAAAGAGTTAAGAAGAAGTATTCTTAACTGCCCCATTCCAGTATTTCTGGAGAACTCCATGGACAGAGGAGCCTGGTGGGCTACAGACCATGGGGTCGCAAGAATTGGACCTGACTAAAGCGACTAACACTAACTAACTCGTCTTGATTAATACCAAGACAAACGCCTCTATGTAACCTGGTTTACAGGAGAATTTGGGACCCAAAGGATCCTTCATGGTGCAGACCCCTCACTACCCTGTGGAGGACCGTGTGCTCCCCTGAATTTAAGAGACTGGCACAATGGCAGGCAGCCAATAAAAGCTGAGAAAAGAATCGGAAAGGCAGCACGAGCCTTTGTCACTACATCATACTGCCCCCCCCAGGAGCCAGACCTTAAAATCCCCTTTGCCAAAACATTCTCTAGGATGGAGCAGGCTAATTCTGAGGAAGAAGGAAGCTATTCATTTAATTTTCTAAAAAATGGAAACAGTCGGTGTGATGGTTCTCGTGCCCCCATCGGGTCCAGTGCACATGTCTTAAATGAAATTAAAATATCAAGGCACCTGGATGTAAGGGACCAAACATCTCATTTGAAGCTTAGGCAGTCAAATGAGCCACCGGAATCCGGCCACTCGTTCATGATCCTTCCTACCTCTCTTCCCCACAGGAAAGCCCTCACAATGCCTTAAGATTTTCTGCGAAAACTAACCAGCAGTCAGAAAACTGACGAGACAGCCCCACAATAGTTGATAGCGCTGCTTCTTCTGGAGCCCCTGAATTCCAGTTCAGACTCACTTTCTACCCTAACATCATCAAGTTAGCCTTACGGGTTTAAAAAAAAAAATGACGTGGGAAATAGCAGAGCTTCAGGGGGTTAGCTGAGACGACTTGCACTCGCTTGCGCACCAGCGACACCCAGAAAAAGAGGGGGCAGGAATGTGACTGAGGGCTTCCAGAAGCCTGCAAATCCTCCTCCTCCACCTGAGGACCCACGTTCCCGCGCAGATATAACCGATTTTCACAAGAGCTTTAAAATTTAAGTAAGATTTGCAGAAAGTTCCATTCCGTCTCCCACCCCCCACCTCGGGCAGCCGTTAAGTCAGTCACGCGAGAGGGTGTGTTGCGATTCTCAATATTCCCAAGGGAAACGGACCTGCGATTGGAGGTCGCAGACACCGAGTGAGGGGCTGGCAGAGCCCCGTCAGCCTGGCCGGGCACTGGCCGGGCGTGGGCGGCGGCCGGGGTCGGGGACCGCAATGTCTGGGCGCGCCATCCCGGTCTCCCCCGGGAGCAGGCAGCAAACGCAGCCACCAGCCGCTCCGAGGCGCGTTGCAGGAAAGAAACGGCACGCGGCAGAAAGGGGCGAGCCTCGGGCACGGGATGTACAAAAGCAAAGTCTGCAACCTAGCGGCTGCTTTCCACACCCCTGCCCAAGTTGTCTTCGGAGCCGCACCTCCAGGTTCGCGGCCACAGAGCCGCACGCTCCCCACTGCTGAAAGCAAAACCGGGGGACCCGAGGACGCCGCAGCCTTCGACTCCGGAGCAGAGGAGGCAGCGGGTGCGTCTCCAGCTCTGGGGCACAAAGAGCGCCGCGGTTTGGAAAGCAGCCGCTGCAGAGCAAAGAAAAGGCTCTCCTCCAACTTCGCCCTCGGCGCGGCGGAGAACCAGTGGGCCGGTTCTCACGCACAACTTTTAACAAAAGGAAGCAACGGCCGCGCCTCGGCCGGCGGAGATAACGCGCTGCGTGAGAACTCCCTCGCCGCCCGCCTCTGACCCCGCTCAGCTCGCCCTCCTCACAAAAGCAGCCCTGAACTCACACGCAGCCCGCTGCCCTCAGCCTAAGCCCCTCGCCGCCCGCCTTCCTGGAAGACCCGCAGCTCAGCGCCCCCACCACCGGCTGCGGAGGGCTCCCGGCGCAGGTGAGCAGGGCAGGGCGCAGGAGAGTCCCGGGGCCGCCCCGAATCTTCCCGAGGCCGAAACGCGCCGGCAGCAGAGGGGCCGGCAGCCCCCTCTCCCCAGCCACCCAACGTATTCGGACCCTCACGGGGCACAGCTGCGCCGGGGGGGGAGGGGGGGCGCGGTCCGAGTACCCGCAGCGCCCTCCCACCTGTCTGGACGCGGAGCAGGAGCAGCAGAACGAAGAGGAAATCCCAGGCGCCGCGAGCGCCTCTCATCGCGGTGGCTGCGCTGGGACCGGAGCTCTGTTCTACGTTCCGGCTCTCGCCCGAGTGCCGCGAGCGCGGCAAAGCCGAGCCCCCAGAGCCGCGAGCGCCGAGCCGCGGCCCCTCCTCCCAGCGCCCTCCCCCTGCGCGACGGCCACGCCCCTTCTGCGCGCCCCTCCTCGCCTCCCCTCCCTCCCTCCCTCCGGCCTGGGTCTCGCTCCCTGGCGGCGGCGTCTGACCCCTGTTCCTGCGAGGTGCTGATCCCGGGGTACTGAGCCCGCGGGGAGTGGTTGGGCACGTCGGCCCTCGCCCCGCGCTCACGACCCCAGAGCCCATACATCTCTCCACCTTTCCTCCCCGGTGATGTTCCCGGACGAGAGTGGTGTTGCCCGCCGCGCGCTTTGTGAAGCTGGGCACCGCGCGCACATCAGGGGATCGGCCCGCCACCTGGCAGATGCTCCCCAGACAATAAAGGTCCGCCACCGCCCCTCGAGCAAGCTCCCGAGGGCGGAGGCCGGACGCCCCTGATGGTGGAGGGGCGCGGGGAACAGGAATTTGGGGGGAGCGGAATTGGGCCCCGACATTCTTCTGTATTCCTGTTGTTCGAGGGGACCAAGCGTGGCGCCAGGAGTTGCGGTAGAAGGCTGAGCCCAGGCGTAGGTAATTTTTAAAGCTGTTTCTGCACCTGCTCCTCGACCTGTAAAAGCACCGTTGGTTTCTATTGGTCGGCTTGGCCGCTGCCGAGACCTTTCTGGAGACTGGGGCTTTGGGGTAAGGAGGGGCCTTGTGAAGTTTACTCTGCGAGCTCGAGTTTTTAAACCCAGTTGCGCCAAAGTTCTTGTACTAAAAGCCCTCTGAGCGTCTTTTTTTTTTTTTCCCCCTTGTACTGTTTCTGTGCCTCTCTATCAGAAGGTATTACAAGGGTGGCGGTTCTTGTATTCCTCTTAGCCGCCCTAGCCTGTAGCAAGAGCAGAACAATAGTAAAATGATCCTCTTAAGCCAAGTTTTTCACGGCCTAGGAAGTGCTTTACCCAAGGAAACAACAGTATCTGTGTAGGGTTTTATAGTTCCTCCTTATGCTGAATGTTATTTCATGCTCACGATAACAGCTTTGTGAGGTAGGTAGAGCAGATACGTTTATTATTTCAGTTCTAAAAGTGGCCCAAGATCACACAGTTAAAAGAGGGGAGACCCAGCCATTATAAGACTTGGAGTCATCCAAGTATGATGAGTCTTCCCTCTGCATTCTAATAAATCAGTAAGACACCTCTCCATTCTCTTCAGAATGGAAAATAAGTGGAAAGTGCCCATAAGAAAGAGCTGTGGAATAATTTAGATGCATTTAGACTCTTCTCTAATGTAGCAGCCAAAATTTATCATTAGCCAGTTCTCCCCTTATTTCATACTGAAAGCTCCCTTGTTCCATGTTGGTAGGACCTAAACTGGTTTAAGAAATGTAACTTTTTTTTTTAACCATAATTGTCATACCAATGAATAGTAACATTAACAAGAACCATAAAATATGGGGGGTGTTGCAAAACTACAAATGAGCAAACATTAAATCGGGGGCTGAGGCAAGAGGATAACATACATTCTTTACAAGTAACTACGGTTGGACCTCCAGTATAATTAGCAAATATCTGTAAATCATTAGAATTATTAGTGAAAAGGAAGACATAGGAGAGGGCAAGCAAACTAATGCAGAGAAAAAGGGAAGGAAAGTGAAGTCGCTCAGTCGGGTCCGAAATCTTTGCGACCCCGTGGACTGTAGCCCACCAGGCTCCTCCGTCCATGGGATTTTCTAGGCAAGAATACTGGAGTGGGTTGCCATTTCCTTCTTTAAAGAAATGTAGCTTTTAAAGTTAGCTAATCACTTAAAAATTATCACTACTCAATCAGTATGGATATATGACCACCTCTCTTTAAGTATATTTAGTCATTCAGTAAGCACTGAAGTGTCTGGGGAGAGCAAGGAGGAACTAGGGACTGCGAGGACCATTGTTCACAGAAGGTGTGGGCACCCTGCCGCAGCCCTTAGAGTCAAGTGTGGGGTCCCACAGTCCGATGTCCTAGCAAAAGGTTCAAGTCACACAGCTATGGGATGACTGAAATTCAAAGGGTACTGTACTCAGGGCCATCAGACCGCATCTTTTTCTGAAAATGACAGGGGTAAAAGGTACCACTCAGAGCAATGATAAGTTTCTGGGATCTTGATTTATTTCTGAAATCATTTCATAGTGGGGAGAAAAATCACTAGGTGTTAAAATATCAACATTATGCCTGAGAGAAAATTTACAATTTTCTTCTTCAATCAACTGATATTGGAGAGGATAACAAGTCTTCAGAAGATTGGATGAAAAGAGACCATATTGCAATTTAATTTTAGGCAGGAAACTTCTATCCAGGAAAAAAAAAATAGACTGGACTATCATTCATGTTCTCCATTCAAAAACACCTATGAGCATCTAGGTAAGCATATGCTACAAAAACCAATAAGATGGAGTCTCTGCCTAGAGGATTCTCATTCCAGGAGGGAAAACACATACCCCAATAAGAAACTATAGTATCTGTTAACAGGGGCCTGTATAAACCCAGGGTGGCCATATTGGTTGGGAGAATATTGAAATCTTTCTGTACTCATTGAGAAAAACAAAAAACTACTTCCCTAAACACCCTCTCATCCCAACTCCCCTTAAGAACACCCCAAATCTCCCCAGATCTAGCAATTAAAGGTTTAAGGCCAGTCATGGCAGAGAACCACCAATCCTAGTGCCTTTAGGGCTATTAGCTATTTTTCGTAATAACCTCTGCTAGCTCTGTCCTAAAAGGAGGCATGTAGAAGGTGCTATGAGTGAAATGCCAGTGGAATGTACTGTTTTAGATCGTGTCCAGTAGAAACATTTACAATAATGGAAATATTTTATATCTCAGGGGATGATGTGTGGGACCAGTTCTGTACTATTTTGTGGTAGCCCTTGCACCCTTTCATGAGTTATACTTTATATATTTTTATTGTTTTCATAATTGTATTAGTGAGGGCTCTTGATTGCAAGTTGTAGAAACTCAACTCAAACTGACTTATGCAAACAAAAATATGTAAAACCTATTAGCTCAGATAACTGGAAAGTCCAGGGATGATGATGTTCCAGGCTTTCCTAGGTCTAAGAGCTCAGTCATCAGGAGTTGAAGATGTGTTTGTATGTGTACACACACATGAAATTCTTCTTCATCTCCATCCCTTAGCAATGCTTCCCTGTATTGCTTTCCTGACTTCATATGCAGCTCTAGACTTACAGCTCATTGCAGATGCAAGCAGAGCGTTTCTGCCCTCAGGAACATCTCCTGCAAAAGTGCTGACTTGGCTTAAGTCACATGCTCATCTAGAACCAGTCACTGAAACCAGACAGATGGAACATAAGGATCAGCCAGGCCTGGGTCACATGCCAGGCCTGAGTCACATGCCTATCCCTGGAGCCAGGGTTGGGGGCCCACTTCATCCACATCACAAGGCTTCAGAATGTGGAGAGCTGTGTTCTCAAAGGAAAACTGAGAAGGAATGTTGCTGCACAAAGAGAACCAGAAGCTTCGCTATAGCCTCACACAGCCCAAATCTATAATTTCAAATTTTTTTTATTTCTGATTGTAAAAGTAAAGATGCTTATTGTAGAAAATTTAGAAAATACCAAAAATTATAATGAATGAAACAAAACAAAAACCACCCAAGGTATAATTACTGAAGAGTTCATTTTGTTATGTTTCTTTTGAATCTTTCTTCTCTGTTTATTCTTTTTTTTTCATTATATGATTTAAGATTTTACAATATTTGGTAGGTTTCTATCTAGCTTTTTCACTAATCATAACACAAGCATTGTCCCAAATCACTATCAATTCTTTGGAAACATACCATATAATGGTAACATAATGTTCAGTCAACCCTATATATGTACCATGATTCTGGACGTTTCATCATTCCTCTATTTTTTCCAGTTTTTTTCTATCATAAATTACTTGGTGATGATATTGGTGAATAAAACGTCCCTGCCTCTGATCACTTATTTAGGATAGATTCCCATAGATGGAATTACTACATCGAGGGGACAGTCATTTTCAAGTTTGCTCCTTGATAGTCACTATTTTTCCAGTAATGATTTGGAAGTCCATCAAATGGGAGAAATGAGTGTATGATCGTTATTGGTAGACTGTTTTTGCGATAATGCTCACAGTTAGTGAGGACAAAAGAGGATGATGTGTGCTCTTAGGACAAGCTTTCATGCAGTGTTTGTTGAACACCTGTGTGCCGAGTGTGCTCTATTTGGCGCTAGGAATGTGGAGTTGGACAAGACACAGATGCTGTCCTCATGGGATTTGCAGAGACAGAAGAGGGACACATCAGGGGCTCAAAGATGAAATCATTATACGTGCTCTAACGGAAGTCTGCACAGGGCGATGTTTGAATGCAGAGGAGACCCTTGATCATATTGTACAGTGGCCTCATGAAGCTCCCACAAAGAGTTGGCAGATTCTGAGGCATGCAGAAGAGAGGAGGGCCAAGAGGGAGAGGGAGGAAGCAGGCATGCAAGGGGCTAGAGGCAGGAACCAGCATGAGGCAGATGGACCACGCTGCAGTTCATCACAGCACAGCTATAGGGGATCAGGACCTCACAGGAATGGGAGACCACAGAGATAAACAAGGACCATTCCTGCCAGAACCATGGACTTCATCCTCTGATGGAGAATGAAGCTATAAAGAGTCACTGCAGGACTACTCTGGGGCCAGATGTGATTCAGATTTACATTTTGGAAAGAGAGTGGGAAGACTCAGTGAAGGGTAAATGAAAAGGAGCCAGAACTTGAGAAAATTACCGGGAGCCTGATGTGATGGTCCACAAGAAGAGTGGTAAACTGGATTAAGTTAATGGAGGTGAGAATGGTGAGAAAGGGTAAAAAAGAAATGCTGAGCAGAACTTACACCTTGATCCCCAACTGTGCTGTGGAAGGGGAGTGGAGAGAGGAACGGATTTCTGATGTCAGTTCCAATGTGCTTCCCTTCAGCAAGACACAGAAGCAGGCTTGTAATGGAACGTGAAGGATGTGGAGACAGGCCTGGTGGGCGTGAGGTGCTCATGGATGCCGTGTCAGCTAGACGTGCAGTGCTGGAGCTCAGCATGGGTCCTGGCCATAGGGAAGTGGCGGTGGCCAAGGGTTTGGACAACGTCACCCCTTATCCTATGGAGTGTCCCCTGTGAGGAAAACAGGGGGCTGATGTCATACCTAGGGAAACGCCCACATTTAGGGGATAAGCAGAAAAAGGTCTCACAAAGGATCCTGATAAGCAAGGGTCAGAAAAGCAAACAGAGAAAGCTATGGCTCAAGGAGATTTCACGGGCATGGGCGTGTTCAGGTGTTGCTTATCTCTTAAGAAGGTCAAATAAGATAGAAATGCATGGTTGCCTTGTAAACATAATAGGAAATGGCAACACCTAGCAAGTTCCAAATTCTTTATGTTGATGGAAACTAACCCATTTCAACCTCACAGTAACTCTACCAGGTAGGTACTCTTGGTACCCCCCAGTTTATAGATGAGGAAACTGAGGCTCAAGAAAGTTAAGTAACTTACATTAAATTTACACCAGGATTCGAACACTTGGCAGGCTGATTCCATCACCCTCGTACTTAATTCCTGTGATAATTCACCACCCTACTTAACCTCAAGGTTATTGGTGACTAAATCCATACTCTTGGACTCAGACACACACCTAGACACACACACTCACACACACAGAGTTTGTGACACCAGA